ATATATCATCCCTTCAAAGTCCTTTTTGCAGTTTTAGGAAAATTATTAACCCCTTCTCCTGATCTTTTAAGCTGCCAAATTTTTCAGGAACTTTTTAGAAGTTTAAAATGCACTTTGGCTTTGACTATTTCTGTGGCTAATTTTATTACCAGATCCATGATGTACATAGTTTCAGCAATGACTAGACTTTCCTCACATTTATTTTGACAAAACTAACATGTGAAGGAAGTCTCCTGTTATCTTCTAAGGCCATAGCCAAACCATGGGACACCAGAATAAATAGAACCTATGAAGAAATAGCCATACTCTGTGAGTATAGGAAACATAAAATCAGTGCACCACATTTTTCTGTGCCTATGAAGAGATTTCTCCACCCCTCGTCTATCCATCATCCTCTAGGACATTCTGTTCATCCTGATGCAGTGGCATTTAGCTTTCTTATACTATGATGATCTGACGCACATGACCGATTCGGGGCTTAGTTGATTTAAGACCTTCACACCAGCAATTCTAGCTATTAAAATTTCCATTATGGGAAAATTTATTCTTACAGTGTCATTCAGTTGTCATAGCATAGATTTGCATTTTTTAAAAAGTCACTTTTATGAATTGAGCTAGCTACTTAGTTAATCTGCCTCCATTCTGCATTAACAATGGTATTTCTCATGCAGTGAACATACTCCAGACTTAACAATAGTGGAGAGAGGGTCAGATACTGGCCTGGAAAGATATTCTTAAGTGTCCCCCATCTTATGCTATCCACTTGATTCAATGTGGCAGCTAATTGGCAGCTGTTAAGACCCAGAACAATTAGACTCTAGATTAAACCAGAGGCTGAAGAGTTGTTTTTTAAATGAATCAGCTTCTGAGATAATCATTTTCATGCACACCAATTTAACAAATATTCACTGAGCCCCTTCTTCATGTCAGGCACTGTTGTAGCCACTGAGACTCCCAAACCTTTGTCCTCAAGGCAATTGCATTCTAGTGATAAAATAACTTAGAGCTTGAGATGACACCCAAGGGCATATGATGACAGAGATGATGCCTGACAAGCTCTTTCAAAAGTCCTCCTGAGATCTCCCATGACACTCCAAGCTAAGCCAAGTACCTTCCTCTCTGCTCCGTGGACACTCTGGGCCTTTATTAGCTGCTTGGAGCAACAGTTATTTCAACAGTTGCATTATATCCTAGCTCTGCCACTCACCAGCTATAAAACCCTGGGCCAGTGAACTCAACTGCTTGTAGCTTAGTAGCAGTAGCTAATCCTTACTGAGCACCTATGATTGTGTGCCACGCGCTTTGCTAAGTGTCTTACATAAGTCATTTCATATAATTCCCCCATCAGTCTTATAAAGTAGATCCACCGCATTACTGTTACCCTGTATCGCTATGAAAACTAAAGTCCAGCAAGCTTAAGAGACTTAGCCAAAGTCAGTGATATGGGTAATAAGTGACAGAGCCCAGGAAGCCTGTCTGGAACTTAGTCAGGACTCAATAAAGATTAGCCTCAGCAGGGTGGGGACTGGGCAGAGGCAGGTGAGGTGAGTCATGCAAGCACAGTGTCAGATTCTGTCTTCATTGAAAATTGTGATATTTTCTTTAGCCTAGATTTTTTGCATTTATATTGAATTTCTTAAAAAATGCATTCAAGTGTTATTTCTCTTGATTACTACATCCTTAAGCACCCATTTAGGTTTTGCTCCCAAGGTGAATGCCTCTCTCATGTTGCTCTAGTCCTAGAATACTTAGTATTACTGTTCACACTCCTTTTTAAAAATATTTATTATTTTATGCATGCAGAACTGGGATACAGGCCAGAGGTTCAGGGGCGGTGACAGGCTTCACCAGAGACAGAGTGGGGAGCAGAACTGGCCGAATGATGAAGTACACTGCTGAGGGGAGCAGCGGGTGGGTCAGGAGAGGTCTGCCACGCCATGTGGGTCACCTCCGGGGCGGGGTTGAACTCATGCTGAAGTGGCTTTAGCTTCTTAGTGCTGCATTTATCCACTGCGCCACCAGGGAGGGCCATGTTCACACATTTTGAAGGGGACTCACCTATCTGCTGATTGGTGCTGCTAAACTCAAAGATGTTTTAACAATGGCACCCATGAACTATGTCTTTAACACCCAGTAAAGAGTTGGCTCAGATTAGGTGTTCAATAAATATTTCTAGAACTAAACTTTCTGTTCCAGTTATGCAAAAGAAGACTTCACAAGGCGACCTCTTTGGTTTCTTTGCAGTCCAGTTAATGTATTGTGTATTGTTGACAGTACTATTAGGAATATCATTTACATAGTAACCACACCAATAGGATACTGAGTGTCTACCAGTGCCTAACAATACACCTCATTCCAAATTCTCAACACTGGGTTGGAAACTGAGATCTAGCAGTGGGGAATCACTTAATCAGAACCACATGGCCAGTGAGTGTGAGTCCAGACATGGGATCTTTCCACCCCACTACCTCTTCCTTATACTGACCCACAGTCAGTATAGGTGGTAGCATGAAAGAGGCATAGCTCTGATCATAAAGAAGGATGTGGCCAAATGAAGAAGATGATAAATTATACAAAGAAAAGACCTGTACACACCTAAAGAACAGGGGAGTCCTGGATCTTTACACAACTAACTGTGCAATGTCATCTCTGCTGCTTGCTCTAGGCTGTTGTGGGAGTGATCCATACCGAGGCATGGTCTCGATCTGCAACTACCTGCAGAGAAAGATCTAGGACCTATCCCAAATAAGGAAGTGGGACACTTGTTGATCTTCCTGACCCACCCACTTATAGGTAGATTGAGAAGTCAGTCTGACCAGATGACAAGCAGTCCATATAATGGATAAGCTGGTGTGGACACCACAGGTTAAAAACAGGTTCCATTTGTATTCTGCATCACATCCTTTCCCCTTCCCAAACAAAAGTGGGTTAGTGTTGAGTGTCTAAGATCCTATTCTGATTGCCACCCAAATGGTAGATACTTACCCAGTGTTTTCCAAAGTATTCCTTAAGACATCAATACTACAGGATTCTGTGGTTAAGTAAGGTTACACAGGCTTTCCAATCTAGGTAATTCTCAGCCACTAAGGGGCCATGTGGGGTGTGACTCTCCAAGAGAAGTATGTTATAGGCAGCTTTTCTCCAACCCACGTGACCAGGAAATCCCTTCACATGAAGCACCTCCTAAGACTGGCATTTTGGGGGATGTACTTTGGTAAAGTATCAGGAGCCTTTAGTCTCTAGTTAGACAATCCCCAAAATGTGAAACTTTGGAAAATTACTCTTAAAGAATCAAGATGATGATTTGTTTTTCTCCTTTTCACCAGAAAAAATGAAGAATCATACCCCCAGGTTTAAAGTTTTGAAAATAGAAATAAGTTTTTCTCATTTAGACAGCCTTGTTTTTCCCATATCTACACAGCTCCAAATGTATATCCTCCTGTACGTGTGTTGAGCACTTAAATTATGCCGATACTTTGCTCAGTGCTTTGCACATTACACCTCATTTATCCTTACGATACCTCTGTGAGTTAGCAAATATAATCTCCAAGTTAGAGATTGGGAATTTGAGGTTCCGGGCCTCCCTGGAGGCACAGGGGTTACAGACAGCACTATCAGGCCATCCCTGGTGGTGCAGCGGGTTAAAGCACCACACTAAGAAGCTAAAGCCACTTCAGCATGAGTTTGATTCCCACCCCAGAGGTGACCAATATGGCGCAGCAGACCTCTCCTGACACCCGCTGCTCCCCTCAGCAGTGTACTTCATAGATCTGTCTGTCCCACTCCCCACTCTGTCTTGGGTGAATCCTCTCGCTGCCCCTGCACCTCTGGCCTGCACCCAGTTCTGTACGCAAAACTAAATAAATCTTTTTTTTTTTAAAGATTTATTTATTTGTGCATACAGAACTTGGGTACAGGCCAGAGGCTCAGGGGCAGTGAGAGGCTTCACCAGAGACAGAGTGGGGAACAGAACAGGCAGATCTACGAAATGCACTGCTGAGGGGAGCAGCGGGCGGGTCAGGAGAGGTCCGCCACACCATGTGGTCACCTTCGGGCCGGCGGGAATTGAACTCATGCGGAAGCGTCTTTAGCTTCTTAGTGCTGTGCTTTAACCCGCTGCACCACCAGGGAGGGCCTAAATAAATCTTTAAAAAAAAAAAAAGACACAGCGCTAAAGCCAGCCACTATAGCAGGAGTTCAATCCTCTGTTGGCCAGAGACCTAAGTAACCCACATGACACAGCAGACCTCTCCTGTCTCACCTGCTGCTCCCGTCAGGAGTGTATTCCTGTAGATCCACCTGTTCTGTTCCCTACTCTACTACTGAATCCTCTCATCTCCTATACCTCTAGCCTGCACCCCAGTTCTTGCATGCATGCATAAATAAAACTTTTTATTAAAGGAACTTGAAGTTCAGAAGGTTTAAGTAACTTCCCAAAGTTGCACAGCAAGTAGGTGACTAAACCATTGTTTAAATACAGTTTCTTCGGATTCCAAAGTCTATGTGTTTAAGTATAAAAATGATGAAATAGTTATTTTCTTATCTAGAAAAAAAGAATTTGTCCTGAATATACTACTAGGGGTTTAATCTTATCTTGAATCATCATACAGCTCAGTTCTATCCTGGATGATAAAAGAACATCCCAAAACTGTTCCCACTTTTTATTTGTCCTTGTCTTCCTTCTCTGACTTTCAATAAGTGTCTTGAGGGCTTCACAGCAAGTAATCCTAAATGCAGACCACATTGTTTTTCTGTTTTATGGCTCAATAATCTCCTCTGTTGTAAATACATTCAGAAATGATTGTGGCTTTTTCTTGAAGCCTCAACATTTTTTTAAAAATGATTTATTTTGATAGCACTTTAGTCTCATGATTTCAAATATTAAGTTACTTGGTTCAGGTGGTCTTATATTTTCCCATAAATGTGTTTATGTCACCCCACAGACTGGAAAATTTCATTGCCATTTTTTTTTCTTTCTTTCTTCATTTGATTTCGTGCAGGAGGAGAACTGAATTCTTTGAACTTGTCAGTAAAGGAGAATATGATTGGAACATCAAAAATCATCGTGATATATTTCGGTAAGAAAGTGTTCTTGTTTATGTGTTTCTTCATTGTTTGAAGATTTAGCCCCGCTTTTCTGCCAGTGGTAATAGCACAGATGTGGTTTTTAAAGTAATAAATCCTAGATTACATCAAAACATTCAGAAATTAGTTGAATAATTAGAGGAAAGATAATGTTTTTGTCTTCTAATTTGTTATATTTTTGTGCCTTCTCCATAAATGTGTCTTTGAATTAGAAAATGATGTTCAAATTGGTTCAGCTTCAGTTAAGTCATGACTTTTTCTTTTCTGTGGGGAAGTAAGGGTGCAAGTTGGGTGTTAGTAGGATTTTTGAACACAGAAAACAGATGTACAAAGCATTTAAAATGAAGAGTAAACATTTTTTTAAAACGATAGGTGTTGTAGGTAGAAACTTACCAGAGCAATTCTAGCAGTGGCAATGAGTCAATTCTAGCCTGTTCATAGGATTTCTTCCCAGTTGTTTAAAAAGGACAGCAGCAAAGCATCACGTTACTATAGCCCTTCCAGATGGTTAGGCACTACGGTAATTCCTTACTAAAAATCGATGAAGATTTCAAAACTTATTTGAAGCAAATTTTGTCACATATTAATTGATATAAGCAAGAGCTATGTTCCCAGAACATTTCTGATCACAAAAATGTCACTTCTGAATAAAAACTCAAAACATGTCTAATATTAAACAACCATTTGCATTCATCATTCACGTATTTTTTTTCTGACCAGTTTGTTCCAGTTGAGAAATCTGACTGACCGGAACCTATCCTGTGAGGTCAGGGCACAAGGCAGAAGTCAACCGAGGACAGGAAGGCCTTCCATCACAGGGAGTGCACGCGCGCACACACACACACACACACACACACACACACACTCAGACTGGGACATGGGAGACATGCCATGAGCCTAATTTAGTGCACACTGTTGGGATGTGGGAGGAAAGAAACCAAGTACCGGGCAAAAACCCCTGAGACCTGGAAGGAATGTGCACACTCCACACAGACACTACCTCCAGCCAGGAATCTGGGGTGTTTCCCCTTGTCAACTATACATTAAAATGATGTGGAATGAAATAACATCGTGCCAGGACCTGCCCTGTTCCTTTCCCACACCCATTCTTAGCATTCTCCCTCCTTACCCAGACCAGGTCATCCACTCCCGTTCTCTATATTACTAGGAAAGTTCTGAGGAGGCTTAGGAGGAAGGTGATGGACTCACTGTGTCTGCTCTACTCCAAGGAAACCCCTGGTCCAAGAAAGGTCCTGCCATAACCACAGACAAGAACCTCTGCCTGCCTCCTTCCCGCTGCAGCTCACACTTTCACACTTTCCTGCAGCCCGGTCACTGGAGGGTCCTCTATTCCTCCTTTGTTTCTGCATTAATATTTCCCTGTAATATTTCTCCTGATCTCCTTACAGATCTTTTCTTCATCCTTTCTATTGTGTGCAGAGAGCAGGGAAGCATTCCTTCAAGACTAACACTTCCTCTTGTGTCCTAGTTCCAGCCCCAGCCCCCACTTTGCTGTATCAAGTATACTCCTTTGACTTGCATCTTCAAAATCTGGGTTGCTTTTTTTCCCATCATGCCCTTTCTCAGCCTACAAATGTACTTCCATCTCCTCAGTCAAAAAAAAGTCATCTCTGGAAAATGCCTCAAGATCCAATTATAATCCCCCCCCCCTTCAATGCCAAACTTTATTCAGCATTCCTCCTAACTTCTTGCAAGGCAATTTCTTTCATCATAAATAGATTTTAATTCTACAAGTAATTCCAGGAACCTGTTTTTCTGGAACAAACTAAAACATCACATATAAACCCCTGCATCTTGGAGCTCCACCTCCATGTCCCATATACTGACACTATCACCCTTCTTATCCATGTGATCTCTCTTTCCAGACCATGCATTCCCTTAAGGAAAATATCATTTAGTATGGATTTATTTGTCTTCAAATAAGTTATATATTTATATATCAGGCTGAAGTTATTTGGTCACTCAGTTAGATGCCTTGAAATTCTTTCTATGCCCAAACTTGGGCACCTTTTTGTGTATGGGTCGGCCATGAAGTATTTTGTCTTATTCCTCTGCCAAGGAATTTAGCCTAAGAAATGTAATGGCCACTTCTTCTGAAATTCACCAATCACAGCCCAAGAAAAAAATCTTATGACCTTTGTTTTATTCTGCATCCTTGACCTATTCACAGCCTTTAATTGTATGGTTGGCCGTTCCTGCCGTAAAACTCTCCTCTTGAATTTCGCAGTCATGGTCTTCTGAATTCCCTTTCTCCTGGTTCTTCTACCTCCTCTTTGTCCTTCTCCAGCCCTATCTCCTCCCCTGCTATCCTTTAAAACCAACTATCCCAAAGGACCTATTTTTTATGTACTCTTATTCCCCATCCCTCACTGGGGGTCAGATCAGAGGAGGAAGTTTAGGTTTCCAATCCTAACTCTTTTCAAATACAATGCCTGCTTCCTTGGGTCTGACTTCTGAGCACAATGCCTAAAATGCTGGCATTCTTTCTACCTCCCCACCTAGATGTTTCCAGGCAGGGTGGTGCTCCTTTAAGGAGAATCTTGTGTGAAAGCACAGTGAAATAAAGGTTCTCCAGCGGCTCCACACCACCCCTAGCTCTGTCCTCCCTTCTGCGTTCATGGTTAGATTCTGGCCATGTATACAAGGGAAGGGCCGAGAGGGCAGCTCTGGGGAGCACTGCCATAGAGAATTTGAAAACAGTAATAAAATCAACTAAAAGTCAGTCTGCTAATCCTCTCCATGTGCCTGTAAATGAAGCAATGTCAGTGATGAGATGCTTTCCCCCCTGAAAAAAATCATGTGTTGGTCTAAATTCTAACAACTGATGAAGTTTCTGTTGAGTACCAAAATAATTGATACAAAAGCTTCAAATTAGCATGTTATTATTTATCCTTTCATTGTGCATATGTTGCACATTAAGCTAATTTCAAGAAAGCCTATTTACATGGCCAGCCCCTGACACGAGGGACGCCGTACACACTCTCTCCAGTAAGTTCCTAATGGTTTGGAACCTTCTGCACTCACTCTGGGTGTACACTAGGAAGTCCAAACCCTGTAGAATATCACATTCTTGCTTTTCAAGCAGTATATTTAGAATAAACGATAGTACAAATGATAGTAAAGAAGAAGAAACATGAGTTATTTCAACTCTGTCATTTTATGTGACTACTTGAGGTTTTATTCATGTTTAAAATTTAAAATAGTGAGGCAGTACAAACTGTGAGGAGTAATATTTTTGTTTGATAAGTGCAAAATTCAGTTCATACATGAAATCCTTTACTGAATTTGAACATATAACTTTAAAACTTAAATGTGATCCGCTTAAACTGCTAATTGTTTTAATACTAGAGAATAAATTGAGAAAACCAATTATGACAAGGTCATTATTGAAGTAATCTTGGCATAGGAGGAAAGGGGCTGATAAACGTGGATGGAAGTAGCACGCTCTCCTTAGCCTTTCATTCATTTCTGCAATTGCACTGAGCAGGCTGACACCACTGACCTGTAAATTGGACTCGAATTATGTGACATTCAAAAATAAAACAGGCAGGGCTGGCCTAGGTTTAAGTGCAGGGAGATAGCCCACATACAGTACAGCAGACCTCTCCTGTCTCACCTGCTGCGCCCTTCAGCAGTGTATTTTAGAAATCTGCCTTTTCTGCTCCCCACTCTGTCTCTGATGAATCCTCTCTCACCCCCACACCTCTGGCCTACACACCAGTTCTTCTACACGAAAGTAAATAAATAAAACTTTTAATCAATAAATAAAATTAAACAGGTGGTACAAATTCCTTTCCTGCCCTCTTACTCTTCTAGGAAAACCTTCTGCTTCTTGTAGAGATTGGATCTTGTAGAGATTGGACCAGCTTCCTGATTGTAGAGATTTGACCAGTTTCCTGGTCTCTCTGCTTCTCTTCTCTCCTTCATCAAACAATTTTCATATCTACTTCCCGAGTCCCTAACATTAACTGACTCCTCTGTCTGATTGGATAAAGGTGTCAGGAACTCCACCTGTTTTTCCTCCCAGGCTTTTTCTGTCTTTCTGCTGTGTATAAACTCTGCTCTTCTGTAGACTATGGGTTGAAAGTAAAGAGGCATCATCAGACTTATGGATTCCAGTCTATGCTTTGATACTCTCTACTTGTGTGATCTAGAAAGCTGTTTAACCTCTCTGATCATGGAATGCAAAACACTATCTGCTTTGTAAAATGAGATGATAGTATCCCTGCCTCATGGAGAGAGTATGAAATCACTCTGCAGTGCTCAATACATGTAACTATTAGAATTGTCATCATTTGAGCATCTAGCAGATATTCAATAAACTTGTTGATTGACAGATTAGTGGCAGATTAGTGGTTATATAAATTTGAGAAGTAAGCTTTGAATTATCAAGCAGGTGAAGCTAAGTAATTATCCAAGTTGTGGTACAAATAGGCAGCCTCACAGATTATTTCCTCCACAGGAGAGAGAATACAAATTGCAATGCATTACCTACTACCTCCCACCCTAGTACCAGCAGAACCCAAAATGAGATGCAGCAGAGCATAGCATGCGGGCCTGGTAGCTTTGTAAGGAGTACAGACTCTTGAATCCTTTGCAAATTTGGGGAAAGTAATGTAATCTCTCTCCCATTTACTTTCATTTACCTCTCAGGGAAATAGGAATAACAGCACCAATCTCTGAGAGTTGTGCCAAGGATGCATTTAGTTGGTCTTTAGTCGCTTGTATTTAGCCGGGGAAGCACTAAAAGCAGGCACACAATGAGCACTGTAGAGCACTCATGACTGAAGCTCAAATGTGAAGGCCAGACGACATGGATGTGTCTCCCTGGCTAGTGCCTGTGCAGGGCGCCTGCTGTTGGATGTGCCTGACCTGAAGGGCTGCTGGTTGTGTTCTGAATGACCTATTGTTATCTACCCTGTCCTTGTCCCCAGGAGGGGCTTCCTGGGGAAGTTATACAAACCCAACCGCCACTGGGGCTTGCTCTGCCATCTGGGCGGCAGACACGTTTCCCAGGCACTGGAATCTGCCCGGTATAAATGTTAACACCTGACATCCGGACTGCCCTCTGACCTATAACAGCACCTCCTTTGTCCCAGAAAAGTCAGCCACGACGTGCTTTCCCAGCTCAGACCCTTCACTGCTTTTCATCACACATTGCTGGTTTCCATACAAAGAAAGCAGATTTTGGACAAAGTATGCCTTATTTCACTCCCCTCATCATATCAAATGATAAGCACCAGAGCTACCTGCAATTTGAATTATTTCCCTGTTTTTATGTCAGTATGATTTCTAGTAAAATGCAACAGAAATCTTCCACTCAAAAACTGAATTCACATTTCTCCTGTGCTTTCTCATGTGCTCAAATTAATGAAAGTTGTAACTGAATATGTTTCTTCTTCATAATGCATATAAAACATGGTTGCAGTAGCTAGTTAACTGGAAAGTGTGACTTTTCCCTGTAAATCTCAGCTCAACAGAGCAGATACCAAGGTGGCATGAACCTCTCACCTTTTTGTATAAACTTTCTTCCACCCCATAAATGAGCTTATCGATAAGTTAATAAGTAGATTCATCAGCTCCATAGATAGTATTATATACTGATTTCCTTGCTGACAGAGAAAAATCAAAAGCACTGTCCACTACAAATTATTCTGAGCAGAGCTTGCTTAGCTCAGGTATAGAGAAAGGAGTGCTCTGCTTTCCTTGATCTGCTGTAGATAAAACAAAAGGGCCACCCCAGGGTATGTACAAGCTTTGTCTTCCCAAGCAGTGTGGCCACGTGACAGACATGCTAAACCAGGGTCTATAAACAGAGTGCCCCTTGTTGAGAAAAAGAAGTTGTGAGCTAGCCCCCTTTCCATTTTACTTATTTATGTATCTAGGACGGGTTTGTTTAGGAATGCAACAAAAGATTATTCAGGCTGTTTTGTATGGTTCTGTTTTTCAGATCAATGTTAATGACAGCCTGTGACCTTGGAGCCGTGACCAAACCGTGGGAGATCTCGAGACAGGCAAGTGGTGATTAATGGCAGGGCTCAGCAGTGGAGGGAACGGGGGTGGGAGCAATATTCCCAGAGCTCTGACTACCAGGTTCTGAAACCATAGTCAATTTGCATCAGTATTAACATGGTATAAAAAATAGCAGGAGGCTTAAGCATGACATAGTTTATTGCACAGTCTTCTTTTATCATGCTTCTACCGTGTAATAGTATTTCTGTCTCTGAGGTGGTAGTGTTTGTTTCTTTATCTTTTAATGCACTAAAACCAAATAAGACTTTGGCCATTTCTTAAGGCAAGACTTTGAAAAATGTTGTTTTGAATAGGTAATAATGTTTAACACAAGGTCCATTTTCTCATATCTGAAAAATAAAGGATGTAAAAAGAAAATTCTATTTTTTCTAAAAACTGAAGATCAAAGGGCTCTAATCAAAGTATGCAAGATCCAGCTTAATATGTACAAAAGCAAACATGCCTAGTTTTGCTGTCAAAAGGTATTAGTTCTAGAATAGGAATACTTTTCAGGTCTATGACTGCCCAACTTAAGATCCTTGGTTATTGATAGCATTTGGGGGTTGATGATCTTTTAGTTTCATGAGGGACCTACTGAGTAGACTATGGGATCTAAAATAGTAACTTGGTATTTTTAGACACTACAATTTTAGCAAAAATAAGATTAATATAACAGTAAGTATTTGCATAGTAAATAACTAATATTAAATAACTTTTATTGACTAACTAATAGCAAATGTCTGCTTTAAAGGTATTACCTCATTTAATCCTTAAGGTTCCCTTTGAGGTAGGAATAGTTAACAATGGAAACCCAAAGATATCACATCCTAATTCTGGAAACTGTAACCACTATCTTAGAAGGAAAATTATCTTTGCAGATATGATTACCTATCCTCATCTATATCACCATCATCATCATCCTGTATTATCCCAATGAACCCTAAATATGATCACAAATGTGCTTATAAGAGAAAGGCACAGGAGCTTATATGTCCAGAAAAGAAGACACAGTAAAGAAAGAAAGGCAGAGAGTAGAGTGATGTGGCCACAAGAAAAGAAAAGCTGGCAGCCCCCAGAAGCTGGGCAAGGCAAAAATCAATTCTCCTCTGGAGTCTTCAAAGAGAGCACTGTTCTGCTAACAATTTGATTTCTGGCCAGTGAGCTGACATTGAACTCCTAGCCTCCAGAATTATAAAACGACTAAATTCTTGTTGTTTTAAGCCATCAAGTTTGTGGTAATTTATAGCAGCCTTAGGAAACCAATACAGTTGTTATCCCTGTTTCACAAATGGGGAAAATGAGGCTGAGAAAGGATAAGTAGCCTGAGATCGCCAGTTACAGAGTAGGGAAACTAGATATTCAAATCCTAGCATTTAGGGCTCCAAATTCTTCAGAGTCCTTTATATTTTTTTTTACACAGGATACATCAATTGGAATTTTTTAACGCTGCAAATGTGTCAGCACAATAGGCTATGTTATATTCAAACCCAAAATCTCAGTGACTTAAGTCAACAAATTGCTCGCAGAACTGTGTACCCAGGGTCAGCTGGCATCGACAAAAAGGACATTTTGGGTGGGACTGGACTATTCAGGTCATTCAGTCAGCAGCTCTGGCAAGTTTTACACTGGCAATTAAATGCCCCCCCCCAACAATTCATTCGTTATAACTCTCATAAGACCCCACCCAACTAGAACAGATAATCCCTTCACATGTCTAGAAAGTATCAAGTTAGGAATATTAATTCATTCCATTGCCCTTCTAGTCAACAAAAATGTGATTCACTTTTCTTCCTGCAAGCAAAATACAATTATCCTCTCCCCAAAGGAGATGATCCAAATGTTCTATCCATCATTGAATCAAGCTTAAAGTCTGGAATGTCTGAGTGATCTGTGCTAGTCTCTACATCAACTCTAGCTGCAAATGAAAGACCTATGTACATCCAAGATGTAGCATGTAAAATACGCTGAACTATAACATACTTAATAATACTCCCATTCAAAAAGGCAACATTTAGGATTTAGCAATGCACAGTAATTCTAAAATTTCACCAGGCATTCACTGTGGACTGATATTTATTGGGGGGTGGGAGGGGCAGAGGAATTAGGGTAGCTCATCTCTGAGTGATGCTCCACAGTTCACTATTTTCCATGATTCTTTAGATCTAACTTGGAAAATTATTCCCTTCCTCCTTGGTCATAGCGGAAAGGTGGCTTGTTTCCCATTAAAGGTTGAGTATCCAAGTCTTTTTTTTTTTTTACTTTAGTCACAGATGCACAGGTTTTTGTCATCAAAACTCTCTGAGACAGTCAATTTGTTATGTCTTAGATTCTGATCATTTCCATCTGCCAAAAACATTCATAGTTCTGTTGTCTACAAACTTCTCAGATCTACTGTATTTCTTTGTTTTCTTATTATCAGGAGCAATGAAATATGGCACATATACTTCTTAATTCTCTCTTATAACCTAGTTCCTAGTATTTTGGGTCAACCTTATGCTAGTGAGAGACCTAAATAGTTAAATCACTTCTCTGTGCCATTTTGTTGAGTTGAAAGGATATTTTGTGTACCACGTAACTCGGTCAGTGTTTTTAACTACGGTGTACTGGCCATATTTCAATTGGATTCTTGCTGCAAGGCTAAGTCTTGATGGGACTTTGCCATTCAGAATGTGTCTCAATTTTTATTTTTATTTTTATAGTTTGGGGGTTAAGAAGTAGCTTCATCTTCTATCTCTACAAGACCCTGAATTTGTAACTTCCCTATTCTCTTTTATTCCTGGTTATAAACCTTCCAAACCCTTTCTGAACTCACCTGCATATACCTAGCAAAACACAGCCAATAGCAACCATCATATGCTACTAACATTTTGTTTTCTAACCTCTTCCCCTAAGGATGTAAGTTCATTAAATACCATACCTGTTTTATTTCAGCAGAAATTGTACAAAGTATTTTGCCACTGTGTAACATCATCCTTATAACCTTCAACAACCTTTTCCTCACTAATTTATGTTTTGCCTCAAGATGATGTCACATATCTTAGAATTTTTTTTACCCTCCTTCTCCACCTCTTCTTCCTCCATTTCCTCTTCCACCTTTTCCTCCTCCTCTCCCTTACAGCTGTATCTCACTTTCAAACCAATTTCTGTTTTTTATTTTTTGTCACGTTGCAAATGGAGTTCAGAGTTGACAGTTTTCATATAAAGCTTCCCTGCAATTGAGTTTTGGTTTGAATTGATATAAGGCAGTAATTGTAGTAGTATTTGTATGATGGGTAATTGTGAAGAATTTGTGTGATTGAGTAGCTTTTTTCTACATATCTGCTAACCCTTCATTTTTTTCCTAGTGTGGGATCGCAGACCTCTCTTACAGGAAAGCTTGCAGAGAGGACTCTTCCAGGAAGTTAGGGGGTAGAGAGTAGGAGAAAGTCAAGGGACCTGGGAGTAAAACCCAGAATATAGGAGAGGGAGAGGAATTAGTTCTGATGAGTGGAGCCTTCAATGAGTGCCTGTCAAGAACTAAAGGGCCAGCAGCCCACCTGGGGGCAGGACAGTGACAGGACAAAGTAGGAAGAAACAGAAGTTTCGGCATAAATAGTTCAGACCAAAGAGGCCTAATGGCCACTTCTAGGTAGTTTTCGTGGTTACTGATATAAATATTATTTTACTGTTAGGATTTAAAGTTGTGCTGACAAGGGCATAAACTCAAGAGTTCGGGGAAATAAAACACAAAACTATATTTTCTAAGTGCTTCCATCAGTGATCATGTCCAAACTGCAGACCTCATTTGTGTCTGCCTCCAAATTGAATGCATTAAGATAGTTACAAAAACATATTTATTTCTATGATTTTAGGAAACATTTGGGCAAAAACAATAGAACCTTCTTTAAAACATAAAAATCTATTTCTAATTTCCTGAATGTTGATTTTTTTTTAATTCCCTCTCAGAACGTTGTTGTTAACTGGTGTCTATTCCACTTTCTTCCTCACAAACATGACTCTAAGCATGTGGGTTTCCCCAGTGATTCCCCCAAGGCCTGATTAGCATCTCAATTTCCTTCTTTAATAAAAAATTCAATCAGGACCACTTAATGTTCCTGATTGGATTTTTAAGTACAAATGAAGCAGTGGTATAAGTTGAACTGTGAAAGAAACACAGGGGAGATACCCAGGATCACTTTCGAAAGATAAAAGACAGGACTTTGTTTTAATTTCTTTGCTTTCCAGGGGCTAAAGACTCAGGGAGGACACCCTCCTTGGGGTGACCTGGTGAACACATTTGCATTCTTTAGTGCAAAAGCCCCACCTTAGAGCAATTTGAGGGAGAGACCTGGGGACTGAGTAAATGGGACCGAGCATTTACAGCACCGTTTCTTCTTTAAAGGAAGCCCAGGGAAGGAGGCACAAGTCCTAGCATTCTAAAGGGAAAGATAATGACCACAGAGCGGAGAAGTGAATCAAGTCCTAGGAAAGTTATTGAATCTCAACTAGTTTTATGCAATTGAGTTTTTAAAAGGTACTGATTCTTATTAGATATGTTTAAAATCTGAACTAAATAGACATTCTATTTATTTACAAATGACTAAATAGGGCCCTCCCTGGTGGCACAACAGGTTAGGACACAGCACTGCAAGCTGACTGCAGGAGCTTCAGTATGAGTTCTATCCTCTGCCCCGGAGGTGATCCACAAGGCACAGTAGACCTCTCCTGCCTCGCCCACTGCTCCCCTCAGCAGTGTATTTCATCAATCTGCCTACTCTCCTCCCCACCCTGTCTCTGGTGAATCCTCTCACTGCCCCTGCACCTCTGGCCTGTAGCCCAGTTCTGTATGCGTAAATAAATAAGTCTTTTTAAAAAATGACTAAGTACTTGCTACTCTTAGGTATGTGTGTGTATATGTGTGCGCTTGATGTTGTTTCTGAGTCTTATTGACAGTTACAACTTATGATTGATAAAATCTCTTGAGTGATCTACTTAGGTAAACTTACAGTTGACCCACTGCACATCTGACCAAAATTAAACCATTATAACCTTTACCAGACTTAAGAACTTCATCTTTATGAGAGCCTAGAGTAAAAAAAAATTAGTTTGGTAATCCATATCTTTTTACCATCAAGTTATTTCAGATTTTTTTCCTGCTCTTCCAAAATCATGAAAATCCACCTACTTCATCTCAGAGATTGCCTAGATGCACACAATATGCTATTACTGAAAACATCTGTTCAACACTTACCTGCTACAATCATTTGCTTCTTCCTGTAAGCTAGCCTTAGAAGCACAGGGTTTGCAGAAAAAACAAATACAAAACACTCTAACTTGGCAATGAACAGTAGTCAATGTTCATCTGTACTAATGAATTTGGAAAAGCGATCATCACTTTCAAAATAGCTCTACAATTAGAATGGTCAACAGCCTTTCCACTGTGTTTGTGACAATTAGAATTTGCTTTATTTGCACATAAATTCAGATAGCCTTTAGATCAAATCTCACTTACCCACATCAAAACATTTTGTAGAATTTGGTAAAATCTAGAATTTGGTAAAATTTGTAGCGCCTGATTGACTGCTACAATTGGAAGCAGAAGAGGCACCCTTGAGTTCTCCAGACAGCACACAAATATTAATGAGGCAATTAAGGTGATTTTATAATGGCAAGAAGAACCCAAGCTTAACTATAACAGTTGGTTACATTATTATGTAATATAATTTTTAGCATAACATAAATTATTTTTTCTGTATAAGAATATTTCCAACTTTGAAGATCCTAGTGCCACATCCCAGGTATTAAATCTATGCTAGGGGAGGTCACCTGTTGTCCTGCATCTATACATGCATGGCACAAGTTCTATTGATTAAAAGGAAATCAGTTTCATTGATAAAATCAGTTTCATAAGCTTTTTAAACGTTTAATTTTATTGAGGATAATCACCATACACAGAAATTGGAAATAACTTCTGAATTGCATGATAAATTACACATAACCATAAATTAAATATTTACCTGTTTCAGGTGGCTGAACTTGTAACAAGTGAGTTCTTTGAGCAAGGTGATCGGGAGAGATCAGAACTCAAACTCACTCCTTCAGTAAGTGCTTTCTTTTATGATGATGTATTTACCCTCTTTAATAGCATTTTCAAAAATAACTACAAATCACAACTTGAAAATGGCAAAGACTTCCTGAAAGTTTGAAACTTTAATTAAACTGAAATGCTAAATACTCTTATTCCCAGGTTTCTGATTAAGAGTAGCAAGGAACTTTCCACCCATTTCCTGAGCACCCACAGTGATCCAAGTAGACACAAGGGAGGGTGTGTAGAGTAAAAAAGTGAATAACTTAAAGCCTAGTGCTGGTATTTCACATGTGGCCAATAGTTACTTTGAAATAGATATAAAGAAAAAGCTTCAAGGCAAGCTGTCTAGTATTGAAGAGCTAGAATTGACAGCTGCAGTAAATAATGGGTATTCTAGATTTTATTTTCCTATTTCAGCCTTTCCAAATCCCCAAAGCAAATAATTTAAGTCTCTGTTTCTTTTCTTTGTCTGCAAAATGAAAAGCTTCACCTGGGGAACTAGGTTGTGCTCATAGAAATGCAATTTATATTAGATTCATCCATTTAGATATTGTTTGAGAATGTGTACTGTAGACTCAGAATGATGCTGTTTTTACTCATCAAGATGCAAAAGGCATAAAAAGCCTCAGTCACTGCCCCCAAGAAGGTGGCAACTTCTTTATTTTTAGTGAAACGTTTGCTAAAAACATAACCAATGACTCTTAAGAACAGTGCAAAGTATTTTAAAGCCTGGCACAGCACGGTGGACTCAGTGAAGCTCAGGGAATGTGTCCACAATGTTTTTTTCAAGGATTCAAATCAATTGAGTTTTAAAATTTGCAGGAATTTTTTGCTCTTCAAGTTTTAAATACTTTGCTCCTATTTCAAAGCGAGAAAACATAGAACTCATTCCTAGATTAATTTTCCCTGCTGACAGTCAGAATTCACGGTCTTACTAATTTCAGCTATGCTTGTTTCTTACCTATAAAAGGTCAGAAAACTACGTAGTTAAAATAACTTACTAGCTATTTTAGTTTCCACATCACTATCTATTTATACTGTTTTCAAAACATCCCTTTATTTTTTTTTTTTGGTGTGTCATCAGACTTGACAATAAAAATAAAGGCACTAGATTGGGATATGGAATTAATGTGTAAAACTGAGTAGAACCCTGATGTCTCCAAACTTCATCTCCAATTTTAAATAAAAGCTTCTGCCTCCTTTAAAAAACTATTGCAGTGGCATCCTCTGAAAGATGTACAATGCAGCGATACCTCAGGACATTTAATTAAGTGAAAAAATATGAGTCAACTGCCAGCATTGGCAAGTTGAAGATGCAGTGTGTATAGCACTAAGAAACCTTTGTCTGGAGGCTTGGGTTAGGCATTTTCTGAAAACATAATGAAATTAATTTTTGGTGGAAATGCAACTCTCCATGCTACCCTATCCTCACAAAAAGCTACTTAACACAGCTGATGAAGAGGCCTGGCTGCTGTGGCAGGGGTATCCCTCATGAGTCCCTTTCCAAAGATGCCTGAAAATGCATCCATCCTGAGCTGACACCTGCTGTGTCCATTATTCCTTGATATTTTAGGAAGAAAACTGTACAGCAGCCCCCTTCAGGTAACATCATTTTAAAGATCATCAGAAGTTCATAACGACAAAGGGTTAGTATTAGAAGCAGTGACTGGGTTAATAAAACATGCTTGTGCACCTCCAAGCATGTAGCCAGCATGAAGCTGGACTGTGTGTACAGTCACAAGCAAGACACCATCTCCCCTTCTATCAAGAAGAGGAGATGGTGTCAACTGATAGGACATAAAGATGTTTTTTATATATAGTCACTCATACTTAGTTACAGGAAAACTGGAATGGGAAAGCATGGGGCAGTATGTTTTTTCACAGTTCCACTCTTCAAATAGGAAAGAACCCTTACAGGTATTGTCAATTAATTTTCAACATGGGTTGACGACAATGGCAGTGGGAGTTAATGGCGGTTCTACTATAAATGTTGAAGGGACAAGGGGATCACCATAAGCAAATGAATGACATTGGACCCATACTTTTCACCATATCCCTGAATAAACTCAAAATGGATCACAGACCTAAAAGTAAACACTAAAACTACAAAACTCTTAGAAGAAAACAAGATAGATATCATCTTGTTAGACTTACATACAGTACCAAAAGCACAAGAGATAAAAGATAAATTTGATTTCACCAAAACTTAAAACTTTGTCAAAGGTCACTTTCAAGAAAGTAGACAACCCACAAAATGGAAGAAAATATTTGTAAACCATATGTCGGATGTGTACCTGATGTCTAGAATATATAAAACACTATACAACTCAAGAGTAGACACATACCCAATTTTCAAAACAAAGCATCCAAACAGACATTTCTCTAAGAACATGTAAAAATGATTAGTAAGCATGTGAAATGATTCTCAAAATCATTAATCATCAGAAAAATACAAGTCAAAACCATAGTGAGATAGCACTTCACACCAACTTGTGTGGTTTGATCAAAAAACAGTAACAAGTAACAAGTGTTGAAAAAGATGAGGAGAAATTGGAACTTCATACATACATTGCTATATGTAAAATGATGCAGCTGTTTACGAACAGTTTGGTAATTCCTTAAGATATTAAACAATAGAATTTCCACATGGCCCAATGTCTTTACCTCTAAGAAAGTCTACCCAAAAACTTGTACTTGAATGTTCACATCAGTATTATTCATAATCACTATAAAGTGGAAACAACCTAAATTTCCACAACTGATGGATGGATAAATAAAATATGGCATATTTATACAATGTAAAATTGTTTGGCAATAAGAGTAAGTGCTGATGCATACTACAGAGATAAGCCATGAAAACATTATGCTACGCGAAAGAAGCCAGTCACAAGGACCATGTATCACATAATTCCATTTAGTTGACAGATACAGAACAGACAAATGTGTAGGGGCACAAAGTAGATTAGTGTTTCCCTAAGTCATGGTTTGGGAATGAATGAGAAGTGACTACTAATTGGTAGTATTCTTTTGGGAGTCATAAAAATGTTCTAAAATTGACTGTGGTAATGGCTGCACTACTAATTTTGAAAATACTAAAAAAAAAAAAAACCACTAAATTAAAGAAAATAGAAGTAACTATATAGATGATGTTCCACGAAGACTAATTAAATAAGAAAATTTCACATAGTGATGAAAGTTACAGAGCTTCATATTTTTTAAAGGAATGTTTTGAACGGAGACTCATACAGTTCACAAGAACCATCTTTTCCTCCAACACATTCACAGTCTTCCTAAATTCTTTCTTGCAACATTTCACTTGGGGACAACGGTGAGCATTACTCCTTTGGGAAAATTGCCTCCCTGATTTGCAGAGATTTTCCTCAACAGCACCCTCTATCTTCTTCCAAGTCTTTGCAGCTAGAAAGGTGCACCCACCCTCACTCATTAGTCCATCAGAGGCAGGATTTCTGATCAAGGAAGCAAGCTGAATTTACCCTCATGACATTATAAATGCCATGATGATGCAATGGCACCTTTTATCTAAGGAAGCAATGAGCTAGGGCAAGCTCAGTGGCTTCTTGGACCCCGGTCATATTCCCTCAGAACAAAAGAAGGACATTTTCTTGGAGTAGAAAAAACTGGCAGTGTTAGTTACAGGAATCCATTTTACCCTCTGATTACAACTGATTGTTTCCCTGTTATGGCATCCTCTCAAAACTATACCTCAATGTTCAAAACATTATTCTATCATAAAGGTTGAAGGCTGAGAATGAGAAGAGAGTGAGTCCCTCTAGCTATCATCCATACAGGGATAAATAAAAAATTTGAAATGCTTAATGACAAAACCCTATTGGGGAAAAAAAAAACAAAACACAGAATTCTCATACTAGCACCTGAAAAATTAATAATGAACAGTATCAATTTAAAATTAAATTGCTTAAACGGATCTTTTCCTTCTATTGCATCCTCTTTCACTACAAAAATAAAAACCTGTGTTATTTTTGTGGCAATAAAACATCTCCTCTTCTCCTTGACTTGTACCCAATTCCCAATGACCTGATGACTTGATTTAATGGCAGTTACCTATATCTGAAGACAGATTTTGACCCTAAGGAGTTGTGTGCTATAAAGTTCAAATAAATTCGCTTACAAATCTCATAAAAGAGGTGAAGATACTTTATTTCTCATCATAGGTAAAGGGAAAGAAAGTATGTGTAAAGACTGATGGTGATTTGTGAAGTGTTCAGTCGGCAAAAATTGGATTCATTTTGGCAAAGTGTTTGACAGGGCACCTGTAAAATACTCCAGCGATAAAGCAGGGTTCTCCACTCCCATTTCAGGCTATTTTTGATCGGAACCGAAAAGATGAACTACCACGGTTGCAACTGGAATGGATCGATAGCATCTGCCTGCCTTTGTATCAGGTAACTGTGTGTCCTATGCTTGCATTGCTTTAGGAATACAGTAAGCGTGTACACTTCTGGAAGCATTTTAGAACAGCCTGAGATATGTATGTTGCTGAGAACTCAGGGTGCAGTTTATCTTTTCTCAGATCTCTGACTCTTCCCTGAAAAAGAGATGAGACTAGAATACAAGGTACCCACGTTCTCCACCACCTGTAACCAAGTCTCCTTGGGCTTCACCTCCTTCTTCTACAAACCAGGGATAATAATATTTTATCTCTTTTCCCAACTTGTGCCTCATGGAAAACAAATATCCAGCCACATAACCTGACAACTATCTCTTCAAAGAGAGCTCTCAGGCTCAATAACGAGGGAACATTAAAATAGTAAAGCCTGGAAGAAGATCTTCAGCTAAGAAACTTGTTTCGCATTGATTAATTTGGAATTTCTCAAACATTTGACCATGGAAATCCTTTTCATTTTTCATGACCTTTCTTTTACTTCTATTAGTATCATGTGAGAAATGAGGGTTTCCTAAAACATGGTTTTCTTCCACCCCCACAGTCAGACTGTGAAGTTTTATAAAGCACCTTCATCTTAGACACCTGCCTCTCTCTGAGCTGTAGGGGCCAACTGCTGCCCACTGAATGCTGGCAAGATGCTCTGCTTGTCTACAGCTCTGCTGCCTGGTGTTGGGGACCCGCTTCTGGCAAAGAGACAAGTGGCATGGGCTGTGACTGTTCACACTCCACTTTTTGAGTTCAAATGAGGGCTGGCATCAGTTGGCACTACAGTTTAGTGTACACTGCCTTTTAATTGTACTTCTAAGCATTTGCTTTCATGTATAAAACCTGGCAAGTCCTTTACCCCCCACCTTGCTCAATCAGACTGAGCTTCTTTTCTAACTTCAAAGTGAGAAACACATGCAGGGAAAGCAAAACTGCTTTAGCTTCTCACTCTGTGTAATGCCATTAAAAACACAGTATTGTTTTTTAAGGACCTCACCACCATTAAGTTTCAGGCGTATCTACCACTTCGTTTTCAACGCTTTTAGAAACTGCTGAGCCCTGTCACATTACCCTAAAAAAAAAAAATCTCTAATACTGTCTTGAAGATGGAAATGTAATTTTTAATGACTATAAATAACAAAAGTGAGTTTAGTTATTTGTTTTGTTAGTCATTAAACACGATAGCAAAAATCAGACAAATAAAGTTTTAAAATAATTTAAAGCAGATCATTGCAGTTATAACTATAATATGGTTAGTGTGTGAACTGGTGGATACTTAGCCCACTCTAAATGGGTTCTGCCATCAGCAGCATAAAGACAATAGTGTGAAAGAACTTTAATAGATTAGTGTGAATAGGGAAGAAGAGAAAGGATATAGTTTCCCAATGAAGCACCCAAGTTACCCATCTTCAAATGCCCAAACAGGATTGGCCCAAATTGGGGCCCCAGAGGCCTGAGAGGTTCTGGCAGGGACCCACAGGAAAGAAGCTGAAAGGGCAGGCAAGTCTGGAAGAAAGAAGCAAAATCAAAATGCAAATCAAAGTAGTGGTATCAGTCTGCCTCGCCACAAGTCTCTCCCTTGTGGATCTTAGGTGTCTCTAGATGTCTCAACTCTATGTTTCTCCTCCAAGTCCCTGATGCAAATAAAGAAACACACCCTCCTTCCACAAACATCTATGCTTCATATGTCTCCTCCACATCCCCCTCCGTCCTCCTAGTGCTATCTAAGTCTTCATCCGGCCTCAGCTATTTGCATTCAATAGGCAGGGAATATGGGAACTCCCCATTTTATTGAGTTTCCTTCCTCTCTATAACAGCATAATGTTCTTTTGTTTAATGAAAGGCTGAGTCAAATACTTAAGAATTCCTTTTCTTCCTGCAATTCTTCCCATCCTTACTTTTCTGGTATCTGAATAAGCTGGGCCCCTTGTGTAAAACCCACAGCTGGCGGGTCAGGTATCTCCTGCTTTGCTAAATTGACCTTGACTATCCATGTCAAATTATTTTTTAATGTTCTTCAGTTAGCTTCCTGTGCATATCTGGGCGATATCCAGGATGAATAGACTCCTTTTACTGTGGGTAAAGGATGAAGAAGTATATAGTGGTACTGTTTTTGGTACTAGTTGAGTAGTTATTCTGAATGTTAGAAGCTAATTTGGAATGAACCCGAAGTCTCCATACTCCTCTAGGTGACTGGAGTCAATGCTGGGAAAAATCCATCAATAGCTTTTTCATGTTAATTTCATTGCTTTATCGTTGATTCACAAACATTTGGGCTTGTCTTATACTTCCTATGGAAAACTTTGAAATCTTCAGGTTAAAAAAAAAATTTAAGGCAAATTGAATTTAAACTGAAGAGTTCCTTAAATTTAGAGAATAATATGACCACATCACATTATCTGTCATTCCTGATTTTTCACGTCGGTTTTACTTGACTCTCATCTGTGAGGCTCAATACACCCTGCTATTTTCATCCACAGGGCGTGAACACACACAGCAAGATTAAACGAGGCTCTATCAAATCAGAATTGTGCACCTTCCTCTCCCCCCTCCCTCTCTTCCAGGGTTCAGGTTTTGGTGCAGCAGCCCTTCTGCTGTTCCACTCCACTGCTGTAGAATATTTCTTCATCATCTTATTTTATTGTTAAACTAACTGGGGAGAGTCATGGCATTCTAAAGAGAAACATGGAAGTAGCTATTTGTAAAAGTTTATTTCATATCTGTGGCTCTATCTTCTTGTCAGTGTGTTCTTTATTGAGGTACCCATCACTAGTTTCCAAAAAACTCACAAATCTCATTTGTAAATTCTTTGTAAAGCTTTAAAACAGATGTTTCAAAGAGCTCTCAAATGCAAACTTTGTAGTGATTTTATTTTACTTTTGTTTTTAATTGAGGTAACATTGGTTTACATCATTAATTATGTTTTGGGGAGTATAGGATCCCCTTTGAGTGTCCATATCCACCACCAAAGCACCCACAGTCCGTCCCCACAGTTTGCTTTGCTGCCTCCCCACTTTGTTCTCACTCCCTCATCCCCTCTGGTAGCCTGACTTCTGTAGTCAGTAGAGTTTGGGGTTAGTTTGACTTTTTATGACACATTGGTTGGTCTCTCCGCATTGCACATATAAGTGACACCATCTGGTATTTGTCTTCCTTCTTCTTACTTATTTCCCTTAGCATAATTCTGACTCCATCCATATTGCAGCAAATGGCAAGAGTATATCTTTTTTGATAACTGAATAATATTCAATCGTGTATATATATATCACATCTTCCTTATCCACTCAGGTCGTTTCCATAGTTTAGCTACTGTCAATAGTTCTAACTATAGAGTGACTTCACCTATCTTCTCTGAGTGTCTCTATTTTGTTTCAACACATGTAGCTGGGTTTTGTAGCTTATTATTATTATTATTATTTTTTTTTTTTGCCATTTAACTGGGTAATCTCACATTAACTGTTTTGCTCCAAATCTGAAATGAGATCAGTAAGTGGGTGAGTTTCTTGGGAATTCCATTTACTGATGCCTAGCACTAATTACCATTGGTGGGAAGGCACAAAATCTTGATGAAATGACTCAACAAGCAATGAAAATCACTCATATGATATCAGTTGTTAAGGCAAACTATCTAGGGAACTCAGGTTCTTGCTGAAAGTCCAGTGGGAGTGTTTAAACATAGTATCATAACAAGTTTGAGAGGACAGAAGGCAAGTGGGAAGTTGGGCAGGTGGCAGCAATTCCAAATCTGATTAGCCTGAAATGACATGGTTGTAATTATTGAACTTAAGAATCCAGTGTGGCCTTGCTAGGTCAGTCTGGGGATAAGGCAAAGGTTATAGAATAGTAGTACATGAGACAAAAATATCTCTTAAATGGCCGGGGCTCGAACCGAGGAGGCAAGAAACCGCATATGGAGCCTGAGATTAATTCTATAGAGAGCGGGCATCCATCCCTTTGCAGGTTTGCTGGAGAGACAGAGTCTAGAATGGGCGGACACTCAACCAAGGGCACTCCGCTGCTGCCTGTTGCTGGGGGTGGCAGGAGGACAGAAAGGGGGGGGGTCTGTGGAGATGCCGCAGGGCTATAGACACAAGTATAACTTTCTTACTTTCTTGACTTGCACTGGGTAATTTAGTTTTATGCCGTGGTTTTGAAAGGGTTGTGCTTGTCAAATATCAAAAGAGATCAAGCATTTCCCACTTATGCTCCAGGTGGCTGAGTTTTTTCTCTCCTCCAAGCATTGGGAAAGATTATCCCTACTCTCACGACATGTATTTGTGTGTGCCTAGGTGGGAAGCCACAAAACAGACACAGGTACATTTTGAAAGGCCACAGCAATTAAAATTCAAACTCTTAATTTCTGGGGCAACTGAAATGTCCAGTCAATATGGGGCTGTGTTGAAGAAAAACAATAAGAAATTCCTCTCTGCAGAAAATCTACTCATTAGCAAATTCCCTAAGTTATCTAGTCATTGATTGAAGGTGACTACAGAAAATATATAAAACCATATATAAAAAGTAGTGGGTAGGAAAGGGAGCAAGCAGAAAACAAACTCAGATTCAGGGATAGTTATGTAGAATTGAGATGTGGCACATTTGTGTACATATATTTATATGTAAATGTCTCATTTTCTAGAAGCTGCTTGTCTTTTTTAATCTTATGACTCCAAACTTTACTTGGGGGGAAAAATATGGTCCTAACAGGCAGAAGCCATGATTTATCGGTGACAGCATTTTAATCAGGAGGCATATAGGAAGCCAGGAGTGGGCAGGAGATCATCAAAGCGTGTTCCCCAAGAGAAGACTGAAGCCCTGGTTAGTTAGCTCTGGCCTAGCAGGGTATCTCCAAGGAATACATTGACATCTGATTCCCGTGCTTTCTGCTGTCTTTGCACCCTGCTGGGGATCCATTAGCCTGCTGCTCAACATCTTTAGAGGGGAAAAAAAATAGAAAGAAAGAAAGAAGGAAAAAAAGCCACCATCAAACTTTGAAGTCAGTGCTGCAGCCTTAGG